TTGATAGGGTGAAATTTGTTTTGTAACTTTGATGGGCATTCGGTTAATGAGGTATTTAGCTGTGAGGAGAGCATCCACCCAAAATGTGTAAGGTAGTATAGCTTCATTTATTAGAGCCCAGGTGGTTTCAATTAATTGTCGATGCTTCCGTTCAACCACTTCATTTTGTTCCGGAGTGTGTGAACATGAATATTAGTGAATAGTGCCATTGTTACACAAGAAATTATTTAAGTCAATGCTATTTTACTCTCAACCACCATTGATTCTCAGAATTTTTACTTCTGTGCTGAATTGGGTTTGAAGCATGGTTATAAGGTGTTTTATTTTAATTGCTTTTTTAGATTTAGTAGTGATGGGATAGATCCAACAAAAGCAAGATGCATCATCAACAAAGGAGATGTAATATTTATAACCATAGGTAGAGGAAATTGGGGATTAATCCCATGCAACATAATAAAAAATTCCAAATTCTTATGTCTATAATTCATAATAGAACTAAAAGACTGTCTATGAGACTTGGTAGCATGACACGTATTACATATAGGTAATAGAAAAGAGATGTTGAGATGTGCTTTAGAGATGAAGCTGAGGATTTCTTGATGTGGGTGCCCCAAATTCTTATGCCAAAGGTTGGCGGTGGCTTATTTTCGGACACTAGCAGAGAAGGCTGGAATGGAGAACAACCCATGGCCTTTCCCCATATTTGAGACAGTTCTTGATCTTGGAGTTGATCTGCCACCCCACATTCCTCCTCCACCGCTTGATGCGTTTCCAGGACCTTTCCCTTTAAAGTAGGAGCCGGTGCGCCCCTTGGAGGCAAGAAGAGCTGGCTGTGGATCATGGTATGCCGTGCTTAGCATTTTCAATGGCAATTTTAATCTCTTTACTGCATAGCAGCTAATATAAGTCAAGCAAGTTGATCAGTTGCAGTTGAGTGCGAATGGCATTTTGAAGGATTGATAAGTGGGCAGTAGTCTGTTAAGCATGTAGAGGATCACATCTTTTTGATCAATGTGAGCGTCAACAATAGAAATATTGGCCACGAGTGTCTTGATTTCAGAGAGGTATTGGGTCATCGTGTTATTCTTTATCATACGTGATGAAGTTCATTTTTCAGTTGAATCACTCGTGACTTGTTGATGGGTTGAAGCCTCCTCTCAGCGGGTAGCCAAATTTCAGCTGTGGTTTGAAGATGGACAAAGGGAAGTATTGCTGCTGAAATAGTGGAGTATAGGGCTGTCAATACATTTTGATTGCTATGGTTCCATATGGCGAATTGTGGATTGGTCACCATAGGGTTGCTGTTTTCAGCAATGTGCTATTGCGGGCAGACAAAAGAACCATCCAGAAATCCAAGAAACCCGTTGGCTGTGAATATCTTCAGACTTTGAGCTCTCTATATAGGTTAGTTTTCAGCCTTCAATTGATACTGAGCCAAGTGCTTCATGTGAAAAATCAGAAACTTTAGAGAGGGAGAGGTATTGATGTTTGGTACGGAAGCTGAGAGCAAGTTGGAGGCTGCTGATTCCTCCATATTGGCCGAGAGATAGACAGAAAGGATCTCTTCTACAATGGCGAGGAGGTACCTGGATGATCTTCAGCACAGGATCGGAGAGTGCTGCTCTGACACCATGAAGCCAGGTAAGAAACTCAATGTGGATGATGGTCAGTTACATTCATCAACGGAAACCTGCTGTATACAAGGTAGTATAAATAGGAAACAGAGAACATTCTGGAAAGGAATAAGATAGTTATTATTCCCCACCAAGGCAGGTGCAGGTTTCAGAAGTGGTTGAGAGCAGGACTAGGAATGGAAAGCAGAAATGGTCAGAATTCGGTTGCTAACTAACGTAGAGTTGTAGCAAAGGAAAGAGAAGTAATGTTTGTTGTTTACAAAAAAAATAGTAGTATGCAATAGGTTGCTACTGTCTAGAGAAGAAAAAATAATAAACTTAAAACCGGATTTACTGCTCACAGCAAATAATAGCCTTTCTTTATTGTATTACACAATAAAGTTCAATGGTTAGCTTCTTATCAAGTGGGCGTCAAAGTTTCAATTCTTATTTCACGGCACTTAAGAAAGTAAATACAAAGACATGGAAGTGGCGCTTCTTGTCCTAAAGATGCATTTGATGTTAAAAAAAAGGATATGAAGAAGCATGAGAAAGCCAATCAAAATTCAACAACGATCCTACACCAAATGCTGTTTATTAAGTTGGTAGAGTAATGGAACAAATGCCTGTATTATGAATTGTATGACTTAACTTTAATCTCGTGATCAAATACAATATGACAGTTTCCAATAAAATGGTTAACATGCTTTCTCATCACTTATGCTTTCTGGTTCAAGTGCTGTCATGCAAGTTGAACCTCTTTTATCTAAAGATTATCTGGAGCGGTAATAGAAAACTTCTTTTTCAAAGGTATACTGGAGGATTTGGAGAGGGAAACTCTTATGGTTTGCACTTAGGGGGTGTTTGGTACGATATTTTAAACAAGATTTAAGTCAGATTTAACTTAAATCCAGTCGAACATCATAAATAGGTTAGATAAATCCGTTGTCAAGTTAAATCTAATTTTTGCTTGTTCTGTTTATTAAATCGGATTTACTAAATCTACTTATTAGTTGGATTTAACAGATTTAGTGCAGGAAAACAATATTTCAAATTAATTTATGCCAAACAACTTAAATGGATCTAACTAGATTTAACTTTAATTGAACCAAACATTATTTTGTATTTAATGATATTTGGATTTACTAAATCCTATTTAACTTAAACCTTTCTTACAGCCAAACACCCCTTTAACCTCTAAGGAGTGTAATAATTAAAATTAAAAAAAAAATCAAATCAGTTTAAATAACTGTCTCGAAGGTTTCACTTAGAAGCTAGTGTCCACTCATTTTGGAAACACACAATGGAGTAAGAGAGCAAGTGGGAGACAGAGGAATGAGAGAGAAACGATAATGAAAAAGGAAGAAGAGGAAGGAAGGGTAGCGTGCGTGTTCCTGCCGACCGGTGGAGAAGAATAAGGAAGAATAAGAGTCGGCTTTGCCTACAGGGCTCGTGCGAAAGAGGAGCTGTGCCCTAGTTGAGCAAAGTGGATGAAAGAACAAAGAGGAAGAATTAGGTTCATCAACGTTGGAGATCAAGGAATGCGAAGAAACATTGTCTCTCTACGCAACACTCACCATTATAGCGGCCATCATCCTTGAGGCTCTCACCAAATCTTATTCTTTTCCTATTCCAAAGCACTAGGCACTAATTAGTCTTCTAGACTGTTATCTACTCCACATTGGCCCCCTCAGTAATGCATTAAGATCAATATGGACGGAGCTCTCTCCCCAAATCCCTAAACAGGTATAGAGATTGTCCTCCGGGACAAGACGGGGCACTTACTTTGACACATTGGGATAGCGGCTTTGTGTAGCTTGAAGCCATCTTATCTACCGAACAAGGGTATCATCATCGAGGGCGATAACACCTATATTATCTACTTTATGAGGAGATCTATGTAGCAACGGAGTTGGAGAGAGAATTCTGATCTTTGTGCTGCCTTCTCTTTTCTTATATCCTTTAGACAAGAATTTTTTGGTTTATAACTTGGGAGCTTAATAAAGTTGCCAATTTTCGTGCCCAAAAGACTCTTTTGCATAGCTTTTCCATTCATGCTGTCCTAACATACTTAGAGTTTTTTGTCATTCTGCACGAGTACAGGACCTCTATTGCTCATGCCTAGTGGCATGACTTTGGTACTTTTTGTAAATATCCTTTTAGCTTAATTCAAAATGCACAACTTAACGCAAAGACAAAAGTCAAATTCTGTGGAGATAGAGGGTTTGACGTCCATGATAATTGCATGTTTGAAAGCTTTCAAATTATTGAATCGTGGAAACCAATGTTGGAAACCTCCATGGCTTTTAATGTACTGAATTGAAAGAAATATGATTGACTAGAGCTTTTTTTTTTAATTTTTATTTTTTGATGCAATGCGAGAATCTCTTTCTTCAAGTTAATTTTTAGTGTTTTAAAAGTTATTTTCCATCTAGTTTAGCATAAATTTTTCATGTTTGTTTAGAGGTAGTTCTGTTATTTCAATAGTTCTATTTCAGTGAATTGTCTTAGTTTGATTTAGTTAGCTGGCAATGGAATAAGAAATGACTTTTGCTTCTGCATTCTTCCTCTTTGATTCTCCTTTCGTTTCCTAATGACAGGGTTCATGTCTCTCTTTCCTTTTGAGGATTTTATTAGTCTAATCGGCTTTTCCATATCTACTTGATTCTTCTTTTACACTTAATTATTTCTTTCCCAACAATTTAAAAAGAAAAATCAACCTCAACCTCTGCTTTTTTTGTCCCTCTTGCTGGTATTTTACCTTTTTTTGTGTAGTAGTTAGCCGAGTGTCATAATACTAAACTAAATTTTGTAATCTAGAAATTGTAACAGAGGTCAATATAGTTTACAGCTATGATTAAATTATACCATATAATCTGTTGTATAAGTCATGAATAATAGAGATAAGCAACTACTTATCTGTTCTAGTGATTGCATTGCTGTAGAGGGCTACGTAAAAGGAGCAAAACTAGTCAAAGTTATGAACAGTCCTTTTGAAGTTATATGCACTAGTTATGAAAAATTCAAATTTGGGTATCCGGCTTTTTTTGATAAGGATTAAGGAAGTCGATTAATAAAGATGATCCCTAATTAATGGGTCAGGTAGATTATAGAGATGTTATTAGAGCTGTTGATCAATAATGATATGTTTGATTATAGACCATGTAAATTTACCAGCATGGGTGCTACCTTAGTTTGGAGCTGAGGATTTTATGTTCTATTGTTGTGTACCGTATTTTCATTTTTTTGATTTTTCTATTTCTAAAGTCTTTAATATTTTCATAACAGATATGCATCCTTTTATAAAATAATTTCTTGTCAGTTTCTTGAATCTGAGGTGTTTTATGCCTCGTCTATTTGCTAATCTGCTTTTCTTAAATGCATCAGGCTTGGGTTGTCTGCAAGGAATCAAGTTGGTTAAGTACATGTTTTTGGGTAATTCTCTTAGTATGTTTCGGCAGGTATGATTTTATTCAATTTGCTCTTGCCTTAGTTTAAAAGATGGTTTGACCCTTGTCACAAAAACTGTGCGCCATGTAAACTTTCACAAGTCTCTGGCTGTAGTCATGTAGTCTAGAGTGCTAAGCAACATGAACTTTTAATTCTGCTTAATCATTCCATATTCTTTACTGTTGAGAAGAAATCTTTCCTTTTTCAATTGTGACATTTTCTGATTTGGATTGATTCTATATATTTATTCTACCTGGTTTTTGCTCTTTCTTTGAGATGTCACGATCGTACCCCATATGATTTAGTCAGTTTGATTTCAAACTAATATTCAGTACGTTGGGTTTAGATAGATTCCATTACTGGTAGTGCTTTGTCAAACTTTAATGTTTGAAAGCTCCAGCTTCAACAATTTACTCATGTACTGGAATCATGTAATCTCTTCTTCTTACATGGAACCGTCTTCTTGAGATACTTTAACGTTATTTGTATGCCATACTTAATGGTTTTCTTCTTATTTTATTATTGCAGTCAATCCATTATTAAAAACATTTACTAAAAATTAGCATTGATTATTGCTTTCTGGTGTTGATATTTTACTTAAATATATTTTTAATGCTTGCTTTTTCTTTCTTCTTTTTCAGCATTAGCACATGTGCCTATATATTGAAGCTTCTTTTCAACATATCAGGTCAAGATTCTTCACAATATCCTCTACATCTTCTGCTATTGAGGTATGGTGCCGGCTTTTGTCTTCTTAGTGGATTCGACTTCCTACCGCTAAATGCTTGCAAGCTGAAGTATTTTTTTGCTTGTTTCGAAGATTTTATTTTTAATCAAACTGCTACAAATTTAATAAATTGTGATTTTGGGTGGAATTGAACTTATGTTTAGATTTCCCCATATGGCTTGAAAATTCATGGGTTTCAGTCGTGAATAACATGTAAGTTTGAGTAATAGGTTTGAATATAAATAACTTTCATGCTAAACATTTAGAAAATGTTTTGTGCACCCCCAATTATGGGACCTTGTGCACTTGAGTATTTCTTCTTATTTGTTGAATTGAAAGCAAACTTGAAATGCACGAAAGAATTTGTTAGAAAGTGGGAACTATAATTTGCATTTAGGGTTGCAAACAAAATCTAGACGAGCCAAGCCGATGCTTGTTCGAGGTCAAGCTTGATTATTAAAAGCTTGTTCGAGATTTGTTCAAACTCAATTTGAGTTTTTTAGGAATGTGTTCAAGCTGGAGCTTATTTATTAGAACTCTATTCAAGCTCGGTCCATATTGAAATTATCAAGCCGATTAAAGAATAGCTCGCTTAACAAAATTAAGAAGCCGTAATCGTGTCTTACTCGAGCTTTATACAAGTTGATTGTTTAGAAGAAATGAGCTGTATCAAAATAAAGTTTGTTGATCCTAAAAAATAAACACTAAAATGGTAATATATATGAACGAGCTTTAATTGATCTGTAAATGAGGCTTGATTGAGCATGCTCACGAGTTCTAACTAATATTGTTCATGAATATAAATGATTCAAATAGCAAGTTGTTCAAGCTTGTTCGTTTAGAAACCAAGTATTTATGAAAATTTTCAAGTTCGTTTAGTTAGCTAATCAAATGACCACGGGCAAGCTCTGACTTATTTTATACCCCTATTGGCATTTCTGTTGCAAGTTGAAATCATGTTTACTTTCAAATATTACCATGCTTTAGGTTGTTAAATTACCATCCTTAATAAACTGATATAAATGATAAATCCCAAGGAATTCTTTAAGATTTATTCTTTTTCCCTTCTAACTTTTCATCAATTGAGTTGTTGGATTATTAAGCATGTGCTTGAAGGAGGAAAGAACAACTTTTATCTGCCAAAACTAAAGATGTTTTTCAGTAGAATTATTTTAACTTCGTCTTAAAATTAAATGCTTAGTTACTTTTTCCCCATTTAAGGCATGGTATAATTTAGATTTTTTTTTATATTGTAGCAGTCTTATCATCAACAAAAGAATGATATAAACAATGCTTCTATTCAAATATCTTGAATATGGTTGGATAATGTTCATTAATTATTGTGGTAAATTGAATTTCCATTTATTAGATGATTTTGAGGGAGTGCTATTCAGGATTGTTTGCTCATTAGATTTTCATTTTAAATTTTAATTTTTTATTGATTTTGTCAGGAAATTGCTTTCATGAGTGAAAACATGAACCATCTATTCTTCTACACTAGGAATTGGTTGATGGTCCTACAAGCAAAGAATCATGGCTTCTTCAATGCCGTTATTTTGACGCAATGAATGTTGATTGGTGAAAATTAAAGTATATTTAGATTTGATTTTTTTTTAATTTTAATTTTTATCTTTTTTGTGTTGGACATTGGAGAGTGAATCACAAGCGGACTGTAGTTGGGCCAAATACATCAATAGTCATATACATTTTTCTACAAAAAAATTAGCCTATGAGTGAGAGTAAATGCTTAATATTTGTATACAAATATTTTTTTAATTCAGTATAGTTGCGAGTGGCTATAAATTTTATGGCTTCAAAATAGATCGAAATTGCAATAATACCATCTAAGATACCAATGATATGATTACTGTAGGAGCAAGTGCGCTGCGCTAAGGCGCTACTCTTTTATAGAGTGATTAAATCTTAGGATGAACTCAGTGGCATAAAATTGAATGCATCGAATGAAGGGATAGATCACAGGGGCTGAGCGTGAAGAGGAGTGTGATTGGATGAGCAATCCATACAAAATGATTGAAAGGGTTAAGTGAATGGCTGGTCATGCCAAGGTAGGTTGCAGGCAGAGCACCCAACAGATGATGACAGTTAATAAGCAAACCTAGCTTAGTCAGGCATAATGATGAGCACGATGGGAGGGATGCTATGTCATTTTATGGTGTATAAGTTGTTGAGAATATGCAAATGTCTTGTAGGGATTAGGATGTGCTTAGGGTTAGGTATAAAGAGTTCCTTATAAAGATGTAGGTGTAGTTAGGGTTGGGAGTTATTTGTGCCCTTTGGGCGATGGCGAGGGTTTAGGCCTGGCTTGTTTGAAAAATGCACTCAAAATTAAAACACAGGATGTTCTTGGTGAGGTTATCTATGATTTATGGCGAGTGTGGAAAATAGCTTGTAGAGGAGATCTATGATTTATGGCGAGTGTGGAAAATGCACTCAAAATTAAAACACAGGATGTTCTTGGTGAGGATATCTGCTAGTTGACCACTGGAGGACACAAAAGAAACATAAATTTTCCCAGACTACATCTTTTTTTTAATGAAGTGTACGTAAATCTCTGTATGTTTGGTACGATCATGTGTTGACCTCATTTTTGTGAGGTCTTCTTTTCTCCTCCTTAGAGCCTAGGATCTAGTTCTAGGAGTTCCTATTGACCGTCTTAGAAAACTAGAATTGAGACTCACCCTTTTAGAAAATTCTAGTCAATTCTTATTTTCCTTTGATGTCTAGCATCTTTGGCACAAGACCATCGTCTTATAGACGAGTGGTTATGGGTTATTTTGCGAAGACTCAAGGGAAAAGTTTCTGATAGGACTTCAAGCCTTAGGAAAACATCGTCACGACCTTTTTCGTCATATACACACATCAAATACACAAAGTTCACGAAATTGCACGAAATCGGACTTCAATTAAGCCCAAAGGACGGGTGAAAATGCGAACTTCTCCGGATGACCTCCGACGACAAATTGGACTGCGCCAACGCGTC